CCGCCTGGTGAGTTTGGAGCCCCCCCACCCGCGAGTATAGTGTGTTGTGGCTTGTTTTATTATATTTCTAACCTACCTTCCCCAGCAAGCAGGCTCAGGGTGGTTCACAACAAAATTCAACAGAATAAAACATTTTAAAAACAGTCAAGCGATATTCCAATTTAAAAGCCCTTAGCATAACCACAAGGTGGCAGTTCTGGGTAGGTATCCTACCCAATAGCATAACCACAGAACAGTTGCCAGAAGGAATTTTAATCTCTCATTGAACGTTTTCTGTGTATGTAATTCACAACTTCAAGCCACGCCTGCACAGAGAAATGTCAAGTCATCCCTGATTCCCAGTGGCTTCAGTGCTGCATACTTGATTTTGGGATTAATATACAGGTCAGATGTATTGTCTTATGTCAAGAAGACCGCTAAATAAGGCTGCATCATTTTTTATGGCCTGATAACAAAACTACTTGAATGTCTCATTCCATGAATAAAAGCTGGAATTTAATGATGGTGTTTGGAATTTGATTTTCTTCCCCGACAGATGAAGACAAAAATATTGCTGAAGAACTCCATCAGAAGGTCAAAATCCTTTGCTGGGTAATGACAGGTCCTCAGAATCTGGAAAAGAAGGCCAGGCACGTCAAAGCGACTTGGGCCCAGCGTTGCAACAAGATGCTGTTCATGAGTTCTGAGGAAAACAAAGACTTCCCAACAGTGGGTTTAGAAACCAAAGAAGGCAGGGACCAGTTGTATTGGAAGACCATTAAAGCTTTCCAGTACGTCCACGACCATCATCTTGGTGAAGCAGACTGGTTCATGAAAGCAGACGATGACACGTATGTTGCACTGGACAACTTGAGGTGGCTTCTTTCGAAGTACAGTCCTGAAGAAGCAATTTATTTTGGAAGAAGGTTTAAGCCTTATGTGAAACAGGGTTACATGAGTGGCGGTGCGGGCTATGTGCTGAGCAAAGAAGCCCTGCGGAGGTTTGTGAATGCTTTTAAAACCAACAAATGTTCTCATAGCTCTTCCATCGAGGACCTGGCACTGGGCAAATGCATGGAGGCCATTGGTGTAAAAGCTGGAGATTCCCGGGATACAAGTGGCAAAGAAACATTTCATCCCTTTGTGCCTGAACATCATTTAATCAAAGGATACCTACCCAAAACGTTTTGGTATTGGAATTATAACTACTATCCTCCTATAGAGGTAAGACATTTGCAAAAACTGTTTCTAATACTCTTTTTGCAGGCTAAACTGACCTCTAGAATATTATCCATTAAGTTTGTCCAATATACAGTATTTTTAGGTGGATCCCATAGAAAACTTGTGCTAATGAAAAGGGGGGGAAATCTTTGCCTATTTCCCTCTTCTAACTCTACCTGTCCCCCAACACTTTCTTGGGTCCTGTCTTCCAGGAATAACATTTCAGAGGGCATTTTGGATTGCAGTGTTTGGTGTAGTGGTTAAGTGCATGGACTCTAATCTGGGAGAACTGGGTTTGATTCCCCACTCCTCCACTTGCATCTGGCTGGATGACGTTGGGCAAGCCGTAGCTCTGATAAGAGCTGTTCTTGAAAAAGAGCATTTCCTGTCAGAGCTCTCTCAGCCCCACCTACCTCACAGGGTTTCTGTTGTGGGGAGGGGAAGGGAAAGGAGTTTGTAAGCCGCTCTGAGACACCTATGGGTAGTGAAGGGCGGGGTATAAATCCAATCTCCTCCTCCTCCTCTCCCAGTGGAACATGGGAGAAAATAGGGATGGTGTATGGTTGAGGCTTAAGGTCCTCCTCCAGGTGCGCAGAGTCAAGTTCCACACTTGAGTTCAATAATCGAGGCAAAGTTTATTATCCAGACAAAATAGAAACAATGTCAGTCCAAGAATGGATAACAAAAGCAAAAAGAATGGCTGTCAAAAGCCTTGGCTGATCAGAAGATAACAAACTATTAAAATCAGCTGGCACTCACAGTTAAAATGTGTTAATCCAAAGGGAGGACAAGGACAGCGTCTTCCTTAAAATGATGCGCGCCCCCTTCAGCTATTTCTCCACCCTCCTTTATCCTGCTCGACGTCATAATGAGCTGCCGAGCACTTTATCCTGGGCAGCTGTCGATAAAGGTAGTTTGGCTGTAGGGCTCCTAGTGAGATGAGAAGCAGCCCGTTCCTGTAACAACTTACAAGGTCGGGCCTCCCCCTCAACCCTTCACTTGGTTCTTCAGGGTTGCAGTTTTGCAGCTGAGCTGGTCTTTTCCTTACAGATGGTAAGAGAAGAGGTGAAACATTTTCTAATTAAGCTTCTTGATGGTTTTTTGAAATTCCTAGAATTTGTACTTGGTAATACTCAAAAAGAGCAACATAACTTTGCAACCTGTCTTGGCTTTCCTTATAATTTTTTTTTCTGTTTTGCTTTCCCTTTCGGTAGGGTCCTGGATGCTGCTCTGACCTGGCAGTTTCTTTCCACTATGTTGATGCTGCCACTATGTATCAGTTGGAATATTTGATTTATCATCTCCGCCCCTATGGTTATCAATTCAGGTACAATCCTGACTTTCATAAGAATTTAAAAACACAAAACTTAAGCGACACAGCAAAAGACGATGCAGAAGACACAGCAAAAGACGATGCAGAACCAAAAGTCGAAGGTCCTCTGAAGGGCTCTAAATAAAATGACGTCTAGTGCACTGAAGAAGCCTTATGGAATGATGAACTAGCACACCAAGCCCACAGATGGCTAGATGGATTTTTTAAAGTGTCCTTTCAAGTGACTGCAAACTGCAGATGCTCGCCTAAGATGTCAGGAAGACGTTTCACGTGCCATGAAGGTGAAAGGCCAGATCCCTCCCCCCCCCATGAGCTATGAAACCTCTTTGGCTGTTTGGTGATGTATGCACACAGGCTTCCTGCTGCAACCAATTACCATTGCCCAGCTCCACATGAATATGCAGTATTGTAGATCTCTGAATCAGCTGAGTCAGTTCTTAAAAACTTTGACTACTTAGGCTCATCGCATTCTGAAAAACATCTCAGATTCATGCATGAAAATGTACGTCTAGAAAATCTCATAAATAAACTGTCTGCTTAGATGCTGAGGTTTGAATTTTCTTCTGAAAATTTTAAATGATGTTTACTAGATCGGGTTTTAGTTCAATCTGCAGAGAAGGTCAGAGTAGCCTTTGACTTCTGGCAGAAGGACTGGTGGCAACCTTCAAGGTATATTCTCAGCTCATGATGATGATAATGGGCATTTTTCTAGTGAACGGATTACAAATCTGTGCAAAATAAATCCCCCTTGTGCTGCTTCTAGAAAGCGAGTTACGGTAATAGTGCTTAAGGAAGTACTGAGGCATTGATGGCCCCTTGTTAGTGCTGATTAGTTGCTGTTCGCTCTCTATTTACATTTTATCCTGCTTATAGAACTGGATATAGGTTCAGGTTGGGTAGCCATATTGGTCTGAAGCAGCAGAACAAAGTTTGAGTCCAGTGGCTTGGCTTATCCCCAGAATAAAACTTTCTCGGTCTTAAAGGTGCCACTGGACTTAGAGTTTGTTCTTATAGAACTGGAGTTACTTTACTTACAAAACCAAGATAGCTGCTGTTTAAATTGGAGTGGGAGCTCTATTTCTTGGTTTATATTTTGATTATTCTTTGTTTCTATGTATGCCTAACTGGCTGTAGTATTTTAGATTAGCTAGTACAGTGGAGTTCTTTTTTTGCGTGGAGGCCCTTTGTATTAGCTTGAACACATCTTTTGTGTATCTGTTTTTTCTCTCTCGCTGTTGTCTGAGGCCATTTGAAAGCAGACGACTCTTCTAGCAGGTGGAAGAACCCTAAACTGTGAATTGTGGTGCTTTGTAGCTATCGCTTTCCTCCGCCTCCATGTGCCCTACGTAGAACTGAGCTATTTTGTATTATCCCTGGTATTCAGGCTTCTTGTCATATGATTGTTCTACTTAAAAGTGGTCAACTATGGTTTCTTTCTTTACTTCATCATATTGATGTTAGAAAGTATCCACTCAACAGTGTTGGGTGACCAGATGTCTATACCAAGTATCATAACTGGTTGTGGTGTGCTCTCTAAACCCAACAACGTCTGAGCTAATCGTGGTGCCTTCCTCCAACACAAGGAAGTCTCTTTGAGCCTCTGTCATTGGACGAAAATTCACGGTGCTTGAGGAAGGTGCTGCCATTAGCTCAGCAGAGTGGTAAGATCCATCCCAGTGGTGTGTATCCTGCTGCTCCGCTGAGTAAAGCTTTCCTTCAGCCTCAGGAGCCTTCCTCCAGCTTCAGTGGCTCTTCCTCCTGCCTAATACATGCCACTATCTCCAAAAATTGTTGCTTGCCCTGCAACCTGTCCCTCTGTCTTTTCCAACCACAGGTACCTTATTCCCCCCCCCCCCCCCATTGTATTGCCCTTCATGAGTGCACAATATTTCCTCATAGAGAAGCTGGGCTTATCTCGGTTTTTAAAAAAATGGACTGGATGTTTTCTTGTTCGTAGACCTGTGGAGAACTTCTATAAACTGTAATTGCAAGTGATTGAGGAGTTTGGCTTTGGACTAGAAACAATGTTAATAAGTCAGATTTGAGGATAAAAGTGCAAAAATAGGTATGCCAAATGGTCAGATCACCTTAGTGGCAGATGCATGGTTGAGACAAGTAGGTATGATATTTAACTCATAAGTAGATGAATTTTAAGCTTAAATGGCATTTAAGGAGGTTTGTTTAACTTACCTTTTTCCCCTGTGGGGGCCAAAGTGGCTTACATCATTCTCCTCCAATCTTATCCTCATGACAACCCTCTAAGGTAGGTCAGGCTGAGTGCGTGTGACTGGGCCAAGGTCACCCAGCAAGCTTCCATGGCTTGACTCTGGGTCTCTCAGATCCTAGTCTGACACTCTCACCACTATACCACACTGGGTAGTTGACAGTGTCAGAGTGTCCTCCCGTTTTTGGTACTGGTGTCTTATGTTCATTTTGACTCTCATGGCATTCCTCTGTTATATCTACCTCAGAATATTTTGCAAGTACCTGGTGTAAATTGCCAGTGCTGCAGTGAATTGTATGGCAGATATAGAGAAAATTGTGACTGTTCTAGGCTTATAACATTGAAGTGTGAGTACATTACACATTTCTTTGCAAAATGAGCTGCTCTGTCATTCATTTATATTGGCATGGCAACTGTAGCACTGTCTAGGACAAGGTCTTGTTTTACTTGTTCACTTGTCAATATCTTCAAATTACCCTTCCTGGCTTTAGCTCAGTGTTTGCTGCTTTATGTGCCATTTCAGAGGTTACCCGGGGGGGGGGGGGGGGGGGGGGGGGGGGGGGGCAGGAGGATGGTGTTGAGGGTTGTGGTGGTGGTTAGGAAGGAAGCCCAGTATACTCTTGGTGATAGAAGTCATGACTTCTTTTATTGAAAATAGGAGGAATAGCTTTTAGCTGACTACTTATGTTCTGATTAGGAGTGCCTTTAAAGTCAAGAGGCACAAGATACCTTCTGAGACCGGAATTATTCTTTGGGATTTGAAGATTTCCTCCTGTTGCTAAGCTTACTTTAACAGTGTTACGTTTTATGTAGAGATGCAGTAAAACAATCTGCCAAATTATTATTCTAGATAATTGATCTCTTACCCAGCACCCTGGATTTTTTCCCCCTGGAGATTGTGTTGGCAGTGGTGGTGTTCAATCAAAAATCCTAAAAACACATTAGTGTCTGAAGGCCATGAGATTATCCTTTGGCTATTGTCTTCTATGTCCAAAATACTTTTGAGTTGTGTGTTGGTATTGGATATAAAATTATCTGAAAACGGCTCAATTGGACTTTAATTTTGAACTGTATGATGTATTAATTATTTTGTATAGTATATAATGTGGTTGCCCTGTTTGGATGATCAGCAATGTAGCTGATTACCACAGAATTTAATTTTGTTTTGTTTTGAAATATCTTTTCTTTAAGATTCCTGTTAATTGGGGGGTATTTTTATATCATCAGTTAATTTATAGGAATGTTCACTTTTATGTTAAAATTCTCTCTCTATTGTGTCAAACTTTCTTCTTTGATTCCATTTAAGCACAGTAACAAAGTTTTGTTCTGACATCTCTTTAATTTACTTGTGGCGTGGTGGAAATGTTTCAATCTTGACCTCTATGTATAGTTTAAATACTACCATATATGACTTATTGTAAGGCTTATTTTTATCTTGTGTTAATAATAAATGTTGTGAACTCTCCTATATAAAGCAACTTCAGTTTAATGTATATTGCATATAACATATGTGGTGAATCTCCTTGGCCATGCATTTGAAAAGACTAATTTTGACTGCTGAGCAGTATGTTAAAACAGTGAATGTTTTGAAGATTTGAGACAGAGAACTAGTTTCTTTCACAGCAAATAGTGGTTGACTTACTTGTTCAACAGATCAAGATAAATGAGAACTTTTTTGGGGGGAAATCTCTGAAGTGCCTTTCACCAGTTTTTAGCAATTGATTTACATGAGAAGTGCACAAATAAAAATAATTTATCACGATTATAAAATGTCTCCTTTGTGGTTGTGAGCGTTTGTGTTCTGATATTGTAGGGAATGGATTAGATGTGTCAGGTTTAAGTGTGTGAACATGGTGGTTGCCAGACTTCTTCCTTAGATTTTTAAATAAAGGAAAACGCTTTTCTAGAACCAGGGTGGAGTATTAATCTGCTCTCCCTGCTGCCACAGTTCTTTGCCAGTCCTGCTACCTTGGATCCTTAAATAGGAAACACCAGGGACTGAACCTGCTCTTGCTCTTTGAGCAAGATAGACACTCTGAACAAGAACAAAAGGTGGCAGAGTTAGGCGTGTGTGTTTCACATATATGACGTCTAAATGCATGCACACCAGATTAAGTGGCAAGCAGCTCCTGGATTCTTTTACCTTCTACATGCTTCCTCTCAAAATTACTGTGAACTAGACTGAGTAGTTTTCCATCTTTGTTCTTGTTGGAAATGAAAATGCTTAAGACTGCAAGCCCAAGTAGAGTTACGCTTTTCTAAGCCCACTGAAGTCAATGGGTTTAGAGTGGCCTGCATTATCAAGTGTCCTCATCTAGTTCAATTGCTTGTCTAGGAAATTACAGTGTGGGATGGGACATCACTAATTTATCCAAGCGACAGCCTTCTTTGTTGCATTGCATCTAGTGTGGTGACTGGAAGCTTCCTTGCATGTGTGTTGTCCTCATTTCATTCAAGTGGCTCATCTTTTTGCCATGTCTTCATTAACATCCATGGGGATGCCAACCTCCAGCTGGGACCTGGGGATTCCCTTGGATCTACAGCTCATTTACAGACTACAGAGATCAGTTCCCCTGGAGAAAATGGACACTTTGAAGGGTGAATATGGCATTGAACTCCCCACTGAGGTCCCCTGTCCTCCCCAGGCTCCATCCCCAAATCTCCAGGAGTTTCTCATCCTGGATCTAGCAACCCCACCCCCTCATTCCCCCACCAGTGGCCAGGGGGGACCTGGCAACCCTACCCCCTTATTCCCCCACCAGGGGGGGACCTGGCAACCCTATTTTATGTGGAGAATTAAGCTGAATGTCACAACGTCAGTATTTCCAATTAAGAAACCACACTTTCCTTGATTATATGACCAGTTTAATCATTGACCATCAGTTTTAGCTTATACAGTACATGTGTAGGGTTAAGATTTGAAAGGACAACTTGGTAGGAAAATATACACTTTTATGTACATCATTCAGTGCCTTTTAAGTTCCTCTACAATGTTTACTATCTAAGTTTTATTTCACTCTCTTGTACAAGAGCCCTGAGACATAAGAATGTGTGTGACTGTTCACCTCTCCTAAATCAGTTAAAAATACCTGGCCCTGATCCAGTAGGAGAGATCTGTGTCTGTAAGCAGTCTTCTGTGGGTGTTTCTAACACAGATATATACTGATCTGAGTTAGTCATCTGAGCCTTGCTAAACTGGCTGGTTGAGTCTGCTGTTGTGCACAGGAATGCACAAGGGTGCCCAGGGCTACCAGTTCCTGCGCATGGCTAACTGCCTGTTGTGTCAGCTGTTCTGAGGCTACTATGTATTTTCAAAATGTTGTATTAATGTCATTTTTTCCTCCTCTCTTTATGTGATCTTTAGCTGCTAAATTGAACTTAGCATTAATGGAAGTAAAAGCTGCTTATAATGGAAATAATGGCTTTTAAGTTTACACCAATTTCAGGCATCATTCTGTAGAGGGTTTTTTTTGGGGGGGTTGCTTTGCATTTTCTAATAATAAACCCAGTTCTAATTAAGCTAGACATTAAATTCCCTGGTATTTGTTTTGTTGAAGTTCCAGAAACATTGCCACATGCAGTACCAAACAATAAGCATAGAAGGATAAGTTGCTTTATGTGAGTGAAGCCATCAAGTAAATATCAAATCTATTGGCTGCATATATGCCTTACTGTAAAAAGTGCAAGACACAGTACACATATAGTCCTTGTATTAACACAGCATTTCAAATTTACTGTAGACTCCTGAAACGTTTGCCATCTCAGCTGAAATCCACTCTGGAAGAGGAGAAAAAGCACAGTTATATTAAGAGTACTTGTGTATTTTGAAATAAGGAGTATATGTTGCTCATTGTAACAATAATGCAAATTTAGCTACTTCTATGCTTATTAAGAGCTACTTTTTCTAACCAGGGTAGACCGCTTTATTAACTTCTGAAATTGTTCAAAGCATCACCACAAAATAGGGACAAGTTGCTTTGGGTTTTTTTTAATCTGTTATGCAGAGAATGTGATTGAGCAAAATGTCCAGTGTTGTCATTACATACTTGCTTATTCTTGAACACACGTTGCTCGGCACTCTTGTTCTGTCTCAAACCGGTTATGGGTACCCTGACAGCCACCATACCAAAATCGGGCACAAGAATTGGCATCCTTGTCATAATACCACTTCACTTGGTAGTTTCGACAGTCTCCGGGTCTCATTGGTTCCAAGCACCTAGCAGCTGCAAACACATGGAACAGAAAGAAACCGCTGAACTTCTACAGATAGATGACTCATTGGCTTTGTCTCAATTACTATGGTGCTGCACAGCAGTGCCAGTGTGAGGCATCTGTAACCAGAAAAAGAGAGCTCTGCAAAGTTGTGCAATTTGATCATGGCCAGTGTTTTTTTCTTATTTCTCCCTAACTGCTCTTCTATCTCATTGCCACCATCCTCATGTCTAAACAAGTGATGTGTACAGCTAGATTAGTTTGAGGTTTGCATAGGTGCTCAGGTCCAAACTACTTGTTCAAAGTTTTCAGTGGCCCTAAAAGAGGTACATCGGTTCCCTAACAGGGTCCTGGAGGAAGTCACACAGGCCATCTAGTCCAACCCCCTGCTCAATGCAGGATCAGCCTAAAGCAGTGGTGTCAAACATGCAACCCATGGGCTGCATCTGGCCCGCACAGGGCTCAGAACTGACCCCCAAGCAACTTCCTTTTCCAGGGCTTCTGCTGCAGCTGCACCCTAGTTTGCTTCCCCCCCCCCCCACGCGCTATTTCCTCAGTGGCGCTTTGCTTGCCGTTTCCTGCCTCTTGCCCCCCCCTTCCCCTCTCTCCCTCTCTCTCTTACACACACACATAGAGTTTTGTGGCTGCTTTGTGTTGGATACAAAAACAAGCCTTCCCTCCCCTCCCTCTCACACACACACTCACACCCGCTTCTGTTTCCTTCTCTGGGGCTGCTGCTCCTCTTTCAGGGAGGAGTAAAAAGAGAGAGAAAACAAAACTGGGGTCCCATGGCAGCTTTCAGACAACGTTTTATTCCAAGTATAATTTTTTGTGTGCAAGCATACTTCTTGGGTGGGTGGGTAGATTCTTCTGACAAGCACAATGTGAGGACATTATTTTGGCTTATTCTGGGAAGTTGTGTTAAAAAAAAAGATTGGATTTCTCTGTTCCTATCTGGATTTATTTCCTTTCAAAACGACCCTGATTAGAAATTAGAACTCATGGATTGGTCCTTATGTCTCGGAGAGTGGAGTGATTTCATATTGCACATTGGTACACATTGGTAATGAGATAAGAAACCTAGGTCTTGGTTCAGTCCAGGAGTATGCATTGTCTTGAACTTCGTTATCAATTGCAATTCAGCAGTCTCTCTAATCTTCCTTTGAAATTCTTTTGTAAGAGCACTGCTACTCTTAGGTCAGCAACTGAATGTTGTGGTTTCTAATGTCAAGCTTCTGTCCATTTATTCTTTGTATCCTCCTGGACTGAATCCTCCTGGATAGAATTGAGACCTAGGTTTCCTGTCTCATTACCAACACTGGTATCTCCACGCCTACTACCCCTCTGCATATCACACCTAATCCAATCAAGCCTGCTATTGTCATTCGACATCTGAAATCACCTTTATAAAGTTTATATCTCTGGTACCTCATGTTACATTTTATAGCATGCATGTCCCAGCCTAACAAAGTGACATTTACATCTGATCCGGCCCGCATAACAAATGAATTTGACACCTCTGGCTCAAAGCATCCCTGACAAGTGTTGGTCCAGCTGTTGCTTGAAGACTGCCCCCCCCCCAGGCAGCTGATTCCACTGCTAAACTACTCTTACTGTAAAAAAAAAAATCTTAATACCCAGCCAGTATCTTTCTGCCTGTAATTAAGACCCATTATTGCTAGTCCTCTGCTGCCAACTGGAACAGCTCCCTACCCTCCTCTGACAGCCTTTCAAATACTCAAAAGAGAGCAATCATGTCCCCTCTCACCCTCCTCTTCTCCAGACTGAACATTCCCAAGTCCCTCAGCCTCAGTCATTGAAATAATAAATCCTGCAACCAAAACTCCAAATCAAGGGACATGAGTCCCCACCCACCCGCCTCCTACTATCAACAGAACCTCTACATACCTTTTGCTCCACCTATTACTATCCGAGGCTGCACAATGGCTGATGTCGGCCGCAAAGAATGAGTTACATTAGGTGAGAGAGGAGTTGCTGGAGTGTGGGTTCTGGGTTCCCTATAATCTTGTCTATGAGTAACAGGAGTATGCCTAGGAGAAAGTGTGGTGGCATAGGGTTCTCTGCGTGTCCAGGGAGGGTATAGCTATGAAAAAAGAATAAAAGTTAAGCTTAAATATCACAGCAGATATCCAGACTGGAAGTTACTTTCTGTTTCAAATAGTTTCCTTATAGAGAATTTCATAGTTTGACCATGTTGCATTTGGAGAAGGGCTTTCAGCCTTGCTCCCTGTGCCACTTTCCCACTATGAAACAGTCCCAGCAGTGCATTATTTGAAGAAGAAGAAGAAGAGATTGGATTTATACCCCACCCTTCATTACCCGAAGGAGTCTCAGAGCGATTTACAATCCCTTTCCCTTCCCCTCCCCACAACAGACACCCTGTGAGGTACATGGGGCTGAGAGAGCTCTCCCGAGAACTGCCCTCGAGAGAAAGCTCTGAAAGAATTTGTGATTGACCCAAGGTCACACCAGCAGCTGCATGTGGAGGAGTGGGGAATCAAACCCGGTTCTCTCAGATTACAGTCTGTGCACTTGACCACTACACCAAACACAGATTCAACCTGTGTGCTCCGTAATGTGTGCACTGGCCATATGTACTTGATCCCCTATCTCAGTCCACCTCAGTTATGCTCCAGAGATGTCCCTAAACAATGTAAGAAACCATAAGTAATGTGTCAGTCCTGGAACTTTATCATCTATTATCAACGTCCCTCTTGGAGGGGCTGTTCCCGGGGGCGCTCAAGGAAGTGATGGTCCGCCCTCTCCTAAAAAACCCATCTTTGGACCCAGCCGAATTGGTGAACTACCGGCTGGTTTCCAACTTGCCCTATTTGGGCAAGTTAATTGAGAGGGCGGTGGTGTTACAGTTACAGGGCTTCATGGATGATGCTTCCACGTTAGATCCCTTCCAGTCCGGCTTCTGCCCGGGACACAGAACGGAGACAGCACTGGTCGCTCTTACTGATGGCCTCCGGAGGCATCTGGATCGGGGCGGCTCAGCAGTACTGTTGTTGTTGAACCTGTCGGCTGCATTTGACATGGTCGACCATCAGTTGCTGCTTCACCGCCTCACCAATATGGGAATTCAGGGGCTTGCCTTGCAATGGCTTGCTTCCTTTCTCCAAGGTTGGGGACAAAGGGTGGTACCAGAGGTCGATTTGGGGGGGATCGCGGGGGATCACAGTTCCCCTGGGTGAGGTGTGGGGGCGGGGCACACGACGAAGCCCCGCCCCCTGCTTCCAGCCGCCCTGCTTCCAGCCCTCATTCAGCCAGGAGGAGGCAGAAGAGGGAGGGTAAGTTGCTTCCTCC